TTCACTCCAACTGGTAATATTAATCAATAACTGAGGCAGTCAGAAGGAGAAAAGGAAGTTCTGTCATACACATTCTTGTGCATGTGTATGCTTTACAGCATAGACATAAAATTAGACATGATCTCCACAGTATAAAGAATATCAAGTATTCTTCCCCTTTTCTACCTTATCACACATATAAATACAGCCCTTTTAAAGTGACTTAAGACTTCTTCCCTTTAAGACTGCCTTTAGTGTTCATGTTACACTATTAAACACCCAACTTCATTTATATTAAGTATCTTACAGCCTGGAGCAAAGAGAAAAGCATGCAAGAATAACTTGCCATAAGGGACTGAACCCTTATATTTCACATCTATTTAGAGATAACCCACACTATAGAAGGACTAGCTCCCAAGACAGGTTAAGACAAAGGGGAAGAAAAGTAAGGGGATACAGAAGAAAAGAGAGAAGGGCTTTTTAAGCTTTTCCAGCATTATAGCACCTGACCCATGCACTCTCTTTGCTAAGACTTTTATACCTACTTATAACCAGGCTTGCCACACTCTACTGATTATTTAAAAATACCTCAGTTTCCTTATACAACAGCCTCTTTTTGGAAAATTTATTAGAAAAGACAGTGTTATACTTATGAATTTAAAATAATTTAAAATATGCACTTAAAATACAAATAATGAGGAATTAACCAAGACAGTTTATCTGATCTCCAGTCAATGTTGAGAGGAGTGTGGGTTTCAACTGTCACTGATGCACAATTCTCACTCAGGTCCTGGCAGACTGGAAATCCAAGTGGTGGTCACTCAAGAATAGGCTCTACTTCTAGCCCAGAAGCTCTTAGGTATAAACTGAGAAGATAAGATGTCTTGATGTACTAGAGGAAGCAGAATACAACCAAAACAATAAATAGTGTGTTTTTGTTGTTTTCCACTACCGAGTGACATCTCTCTCCACTCTCCCCACCAACAAGACAAAAAAGTAGTAAAAGCCAAGAAGTGTAAAAAAGATTAGAGTATGAAGTTAGAATTCAAATTTAGCCAAGCAGGATTGAGAATCAGGCCAAGAAAAAATCAGAAAAAAATCTAGAATTCCAATTACATCAACATATATTTCACTGCATGCTTTCTAAGTGTTTCTTTACCTATACTGGACTAACATTAAACCAGTAATATGTTTGTGAATATATATGAATATTAGCAATAAATAAGGAACTATAGATAGTAAGACCCTTCTCAGTTTGAAAATGTTTCTCTTTCAAAGTGATCTTACCTTTAGTGTGCTTGATGTACTCAAACATACATGTTGTAAAAAGAAGATAAACATTTCCAAACAGTACAGCAGAGTGTAAACTAAAAAGACAAAATTTACACATTCCCCAATCTTCCAAATTCCTTTGACCCAAGCCAAAGCAACCATTATTAAAAGTTTTTTGGGATACTTGCTTTTTTCACTAATATCTCCTCATCTTTCCATATCAGCCCATGCAAATCTACCTCATTCTTGTTAGCGGCTTCATAGTATTCTTTTGTATGTCAAGATATGCCACAATTTATTTTAGCCAGTCCCACGTTAAAGGACATTCAGTCATTTTGTTTTCATCTTTTGTCAATTATACAAAATGTTATAATAAATATCCTTGTACATTTAGTATTGAATATTTGTATCTAACATATCTTTAGGAAGAATTCCTAAACATAGAATTCCTGGGTCAAGGCTACATGTGATGGCTCACACCTGTAATCCCAGCGCTTTTGAGAGACTGAGGCAGGAGGATTGCTTGAGGCCAGGTATTTGGTGAGCACTGTGTGTCAAGTGTATTTGATGAGTTTATTTTAAATACACATAACAACCTCGTGGCACTATTATCTCCATTTCATAAATGAGGAAATTAAGGCTCAAAGAAGTTAAGCAACTTGTTCAAGATAACAACTAAAAAGCAAAGTAGCTGAGATTTTAATCTGTGTAATTTGACTTGAGTGCACACTCTGAATTGAAGAAGTGGAGTACAATACTAAAAACAAGATGCGCTTCTTCCTCTAAGGCCCCACCTCTGATTTAACACAACATAATCATTAGTACATAGTCACCACAAGTACTATAGTGAGGCACGGCTCCCTCTATGCAGATGGCACTGTAAAGTATTCACTGATGTATTCCCTTCTGAATCCCTAAACTTCCTTGTTCCTGCAGTGGTTCACTCTCAACCCAGGGATCCACAGTAATGATTTCTAAATCATGTGAGTTGAGAGGAAGAAGTGATGAGAATGTTGACATATTAAATTTAACTGATACCTAAGGCAGAGAAACCACCTAAGCTTGCCACTTATTCATATATAGATTAACAGTAGTGTGTATGTGTATATATATATGTACACAAACACACACACACACACACACACACACACACGTGAAGTACACTCACATACAGGGATACATGCTCAACAGATTTTTAACTGTCTGATCAAACACATTTGGAATTCATCTATGTAGAACATTCTAATCCTCCTGCCTCAAAGAAGGTTGATCAGAAGACTGAAGATAACAAAATTCTTGGGCTTTTGGTTTACAAAATAGGCTTCTGAGATCTTAAGGCAGAGGTTTTAATTTGAAACAACAAAGTTTTCAAGCTACAAGCTTTTCAAAGTCTATAAGCTCAGTTTGAGACACAAATGCCAAATTGCTAAAGATATATTTACA